CTCAGAAATGTTGATGCATAATCCTGCATTTTGGCCTTGACTTAGGAGCATTTTGGATGTGTGTATTCAAAGACTCCACTTGGACTAATCATAGAGCATTTGATATATTTAAAACTGATGTCAAATAATGATTAATTCTAGAAAGTAGTAGGCAGGATCAGATGTATAGTTCTGGAGTAAGCAAGAATCTTCTTTACAGACAAATTCCAACTGATAAATGCAGTAGCAGTGAAACGAATGGAAAAGTCCTCCTGTTTCCAGAAACATCACAATAATGTAGAGAAGATCTGTGGAAATTAACCTCAGTGGGTCAAAGTTTAAGTACAAACAGGATATTTATGTAGGCTCAAAATAACTCTTCTCCATTTCGTATTTGTTGATTACCAAAAGATAAACAGTGACTTGAAAGCAGAACAACCTGGCAGACACATTAAACACTAGAGCAAGGTTGACATCTCCGAGATGCATGTTAGTACCCTCTGTGCACCATGTTCTGTACTGAGGCCATTGCACTTCTCTGGGATCCTCCCACTAACGGAAAACCTCAATCTATCCACAACCCCAAAGTGAAGGGCACTCCACAGGATATTTAACTAGTATTTTTCAAGACTGTAAAGTTTACAAATGGCAAGGAAAGACTAAGGAGGTGTCACAGATCCAAGGAAACTAAGGAAACACAACTGAATAGGTTATCGAATTCTAGAATCGAACCTCATCCCCCCCAACAGAAAAAGAACATTAAAAGAAAACTGTAAAATACAAATGAAGTAGCTCAGTTAACAGCCTGGCATCAATGTTGACATCTTAGATTTGATTAGCCTGCTCTGGGTATATAATATGTTTATACTAGACGATTTAAGTTGGCATAATTGAGAAAATCTATACTAATTTTGTGATGCACGTTTAAATTTCAAATTACTTCACAAGGAAAAAAAAATGGGCTGGCATTGTGGTGTAGCAGGTAAAGTTGCTGCCTGAGGTGCCAGCATCGCAGATGGGTGCAGATCCTGGCTGTTCCACTTCAGCTCCAACTCCTGGCTAATGCACTTGGGCAAACAGCAGAACATTATTGGGTGTTTCAGAAAAACATGACAATTCCATTGCTTGAATGAGGTGATCAGAAAGATTAAGAAAAACTTGCAACAATTTTTAATTCTAACTGAAGTATAGTAAAAAACAATTGTATGAGCTCTTGAGTAGACAATAAAATTGAATCTGGACAAGCTATGTATTACCTGGGGGACACTCCTGGGGCTCAAAGTGGATTATCATTAAATAAAAGAACAGAGATCTCAGCTTCCTGCTAACAGCATAGGGAAAGCAGCAGAAGATGGGCCAAGTGCTTGGGCCCCTGTACCCACACTGGGACCCAATGAAACTCCCAGCTCCTACTTTGGCCTGATCCAAGCCTGGCTGTTGCAGCCATTTAGGGAGTAGACCACTGGATGGAAGGCCTTTCTCTTTATCACTTCCTCTCTCCGTCACTCTGCCTTTCAAAAAAATAAACTTAAAGGAAGAAAATCAGGTTACAGCTCTATTTTGTGAAAAACAAGTAAATAAAATATTGGAAGACAGAAAAGTTGAGCCCCAGATGGATAGGGCTCACCCCCAGCCCTGGCTTATGTGTGTGCTGGCATGTGAAGCGGTCAAGCTTACATGACCTACATCCTATCTGGCTCTCTTACACACTCAGGGGTGCAGCCAGCCATACCTGGCTCCCCAGCCCAGGCTCTCATGCTCACCAGCAGGAACTGGGTGTGGTAGGGGAGTTCCCCAAGTTGTCCTATCTGGCCTGCTTCCAAAACCAGATCTCATGTATGCCAATGATTCTAGGCTCCTGCCTGGCACAGTCCACCTGCAATCCCAGCCTTTACATGTGCTGGCAAGTGCTGCAGCCTGGCCTTGCCTGCCTCTGGACCCAATTCTACAGTCTGGGTCAACTTAGTCTGCTTTCAATCCCAGCTCGTTCTAGTTTTGGTGAGATACATGACCATACCTGGCTTAGCCTGTTCCTCCGTAAACCCACCACCTCCAGTACTCAGGCAAATACTACAGTCCCACAAAGTTGAGCCCAGAAATCCTCTGCCGAATCTGCTCCCAGATCCAGTTATCCTGTGTGTTGGTTGGTGTCACAGCCCGGCCTTGGGTGGCCCATCCCCTGTCCCAACACTCACTGGCATGTGCTGCAGCCTAGTAGAGGCAGACCCCTAGCCCTAGCTTTCAGGTGCACCGGTGGCCAGTGGACAATGCTACCTGGCCCAGCCCAGGCCTCCCACGTGGGCGGTACCTTGGTCCAGACATGCCCTATGGTTCCCCCCCTCTCTAAAACACCCCTTCTCAGCTCCTTTGTTTATCTACAAGTGCAGTGGGTTAGTCCATGGAATCCCAGTGGCCCCCACTCCCACACATCCCTAAACCTTCTTCCCCAGGCAGTCTGCAGCAGCCCCTCACTCCTGCCGCAGCACAGTCCACACTTGTATACCAGTGGCAAATCTAATGGCCCTGCTAGCAGTGTGGGGCCCTGCCAGGGACCATGGCCTCAATTTCTTTTCTTTTTTTTTTTTTTAAGATTTATTTTAGTTTTTATTGGGAAGTCAGATACAGAGAGGAGGAGAGACAGAGAAGAAGATCTTCCATCGGATGATTCACTCCCGAAGTGGCTGCAACAGCCAGAGCTGAGCCAATTTGAAGCCAGGAGCCTCTTCTGGGTCTGTCACACTGGTGCAGGGTACCAAGGCTTTGGGCTATTCTCAACTGCTTTTCCAGGTCACAAGCAGGGAGCTGGATGGGAAGTGAGGCTGCCAGGATTGGAACTGGCACCCATATGGGATCCCGGTGCATGCAAAGCGAGGACTTGAAGCTGCTACGCTATTATTGCCCTGGGCCCCCATGGCCTCAATTTCTATTTCTTATAGATGTCCAGAGTGGGGCTATGGGACACTTGAAATGCAATATCACATTTTAAAATTTAAGAAGTGTGGTCGGTGTTGTGTCCACTGAGTTAAGGTGCTGTTTGCAATGTGTTGCAACATAACTCCAGTCTCAGATTGGAGTGTTCCTAGAAATGCTTCTGGGCCACCTTTCCTACCCTTGGGAATAAAGAAAGACATCCAGCTAACATCCCAATATGGTTCTGTTTTCTTCCACTTAGCTCATGGTTTTGGGACATCTTTGGTCTTGATAGATCACGATGCTTTGATGAGCTTTCCAGCTTTATACACAAGTATTAGAAATGTGGAAGTAGTGTCTGACACGGCGTAGAGCCTAGCAGTCCCGGTCGGTCTGCTGTAACGGGCAGGATGTTGGCCTGGTCTGTCATTTTTAGCTCTGTAGGCCTTATTTGTCTCTTTATGTCAGGGAACTATGAGTTTTCCAAAAAAAACCCTCAATCTGGGGAAGTATCAGTGAGGTGATCAAAATGGAATCCATGTATACAAGAAGAAGTTGCAGACAGAATCAAATCTGTGACTATTTTAATATTCTGTTGGATGCCATGCATTTAAATTGCATAAGTTGAGAAGTTTTTTGGGTATCTCAAAAAGGATTTATTCTTCCAGGAAATCATGGATGAAACATTATTCTCTAAAGAGATGAAAACTGAAAACAAACAAACAAAAAAACTAAAAAGAAAAAAAGGAGAGAGAGAGATATGAAAGCTTTCTCCTGTCACCTGTGCCTATTGCAGCTTTAGGAGGAACATTCAAGAAGGATTTTGCTTTTTCTCAGACGTTTTCTGTTCTCAAAATGTAGTAACCTGAACGGGGCCTTGCTTATATTCCAGACTGAAAAGAGGAATGTATTTTCACTTTTCTAAAACATTATTTAGATATCTCTTAGTAGAAGAGCAGATGATATCCATATTTTCTGGCTTGGAAACTGTGGGATTTATGAAGTTATTCCTATGTCACTCCGATGGCCTTGTTATCAGTGTCACACAGAGCAGGCTGGTCAGATCATGCCATATCTTACGTTGTATTTGAATGGAGAGTTTTGTTCCTGTAAGACACTGCTCCTGGAGCCAGGAAAGCTTACAACCAGCTGTAGCCCCTCTTCCATCCACGTCAACCAGCCCCACTAACAGCAGGGTAGAAGCTGGAGGAGAAGGGCTTTGATTCTGTCTGCCCCATCTGATGATCTGACGAGCAAGTCAGCTGATGTCTTTGGACTCAGGAAGTCAGGGGCGTGGGTTGCAAAATCCAGTCTCTAAGCCAAGATACTGGATTTGTAAAAACTGCTGAGGCTTCAAAACTAGTCTGAGCCTACATATTGGGGGAAATTCCAGCGCCATTATCAAGCAAAACAAAGCTCAGGTTGAGGGAAAGGAGTTCTTCCTAAGGAGAAAATTAATGCAGATAACGTAAAAATAGGAATCAGTCCATCTGCTTTGTAGCGTGAAACTCATCTTCCTAGGCTCACTACAAAAGTGGGACTTAGACCCGAAATAAGACCAGCAACAGGTTTGGCACTTCTTGGGTTCCGTGGCCTTGTTAAGGACGGCCCCTAACTCATGCAGTTTCGCAGCTTTAGAAACTGAAGGATTTTGGCTCACGTGTTTCGAATGAGGCACCAGCAGCACTTGACTTCCCGTGGAGAGCTTGGGGCGGGCTCTGAGGTCAGCAGGTGGAGCTGAGGGAGGTGGGCGTGATCGCCGCCAGATATCCAGGAGGCATAGTCAAGGGTCATAGCACGCTTCGGAGGTGGGGTGAGGGTAGAGGCGGGGAACGGAAAGGTAGTTTGTCTCCCTGTTTTGGTTTTCCAGAGGAATGAGGAGTCTGCTTAGCTGTAGTCTCCACACACTGCAGGTTCCCTCTCTGTGACTTTGTGCCATTTTGCGTCCCGAAGAGCGGGCAAGGTTTGGTTTGTTTGCCTTTTATTGTAGCTATCGGAGCAGCAGGAAGGTGCGCTAAGCCAGACTCCGTAGAGCTCCGCGGTCGTTTACCGGGGCTACAGCCCCCACCACTCGGCCGGGCGAGTTTCTCCGCAGCCGGCGCTGCCTCGGGCGCACTCAGCTGACCTGGGGGTGGAGCCTGGCTCGGACGGGGCCCACGGCCCTCGAGAGCGAGAGCCGGCCAGCCCCCTTCCCGCGCTTCTCCGACCGCGAGAGGAACCAACCCTGTGCGTACGCTGGCTCCCGAGATGCGTCTGCACCTGCTCCTGCTGCTTGCTCTGTGCCCAAGAGGCTCCCCCGCCGAGACGCACAGCTACAGCCTGCGGGGAAGCTGGAGGATCCACAGCGGGAACCACTCGGTGCAGCTGCTCGGGACGGTCCCTGGCTGCGTGCATAGCGCCCTGTTCCAGCAGGGCCTGATTCAGGTACCGTGTGCAGCGGGACACGGTCAGTCCGCGCCCGGGTTCCCCTCGTGTTGACAGGGGACAAGGAAGAGCTAGGTAACCCCCGAGCACCAACTTCCCCTTTGCGGCTAGCTGGTGCTGTGGAGGGGAAAAATACGCCGGAGGAATGGAGCTCGGGTGGAGACTGACCGAGCCATGCTGGGGCAGTGGTAACTCTGGAAAGCGGAAGTTTAGGGTGAGACCCAGAATTTCCACCAGTAGGCAGGCTACTGTAGCGAGTTTGCTAAAGACGGGCCGTCACTGAGGTGCCTACGGTGGCGGTTACAGAAAAAAAGTTGATCCTGGAGGAACGTTTCGATTTCTCATTGCCTCTGTTAAGCCGGAAGAAGTTAGAGATTCCTCACAGAACACGTGGATTGAGCAGCGTGAGCAAAACTTGATGTATCAGTGTTATTGTCAAGGCTGAAAAATTGGGGGCTGACCGGGATAGGAGGGATCATGTTCCGTGTTTGTGCTCGGGATGTGTGGGGTGTGTGTCTGCGCTCATAGCTTCCCCAGGTGGCGACCCTGGAACAGTTCGGCGAACAGCTTGGGGCTGCTGCTGTTCCATCCACTGCACCTGGTTTTCCTGCATCTTGGCCTTTGGAACAGGATGTATCTGTGCTTGATGTACTTGTGGGTTGAATGCACTGTACTCACAAACAGCTTTATGGAGCAGGTGTTCTAACCTGAAGTTTATGCATGATGGCAGGTGTTGTAGAGCCAAAAGAAATTAGAGAATAGTCTCAAAATCTCACAGCAGCTGAGATGACGGAAATACGCTAGGAAACCCAGGCTTTTAGGATCCGACCCTGAGCCTGTGTTGCATATTAGGGCACAGTGCATGTCTGAAGCACTGTGGTTGACTGTCAGTGCTCTACCATTGTTTATTTGACTGCCATGTCACTGAAGTTAAAAAGCTGTGTAAACTTTATGATTTAGTTACACTTCTAAAATGCATCAGGAAGGAGATGAGGGTTGAAAACAACATTGAGCACTATTTATCTACATATATAATTCATAAAATTTATTTTTCAAAAGGCAGAGTTAATTCTTTAAAAAAATTTGTATTTTATAACAGTTTTATTAAAAAGTCAGATATACAGAGAAAGGAGAGACAGAGGAAGATCATTCGTCCATTGATTCACTCTCCAAGCGGCCTCAATGGTGGGAGCTGTGCTGATTCGAAGCCAAGATGCAGGGTCCCAAGGCTTTGGGCCGTCCTTGACTGCTTTCCTAGGCCACAAGCAGGGAGCTGGATGGGAAGCGGGACTGCCAGGCTTAGAACCGGTGCCCATATGGGATTACAGCGCGTGCAAAGTGAGAACTCTAGCTAGGTTATTACGCGGGCCCAGCAGAGCTAATTCTTCAACTCTCCGAACGGTTGAAGCAAAGCCAGCAGCTTTTTCCAGGCCTTGCATCCTGGCTTGGGACGACCTCCATTGCTTTCCAAGCATGTTAACAAGGGAGCTGGACTCAAAGTGGCACCTATGTAGAATGCTGTTGGCACAGGTGGCAGCTTTACCTGTTTTATGCCACAGCTCTGGCTCTTTAAGTAAATTATTCTCAAATTTGAGTATTTCACCTTTCGTTAAAAAGCTAGCTATGATATGGAGCACAGCTGATGTTGTTGCTTACACCTGCTTTCAAAATGCCTGGGTTTGTTTTGTCGGGTCTTGCCTCGATTGGCTAATTAGAATTAAACCAATGAGAAATAATGAGTGGCTTCAGCAAAGTTAACGGTCCTTGTTGTAGGGCTCTATATGAGGAAGCAGGTACTACCTGGTGAGAAATGTTGCTCGTATGGTATCGAGGCTGGCTTTTCCTTGTGCACAATGTCTGTTAACTCTTCAGTCATTGTTAGAAAAACTAAGTTTGTTAATGTGGATGTGGGTCTCCAATGGTGGTGAGATGAGAGATGGAGAGATGGAGTGGGCATTTGCTAGGTTAGAGGAAGGGACGGCTATCAATGTAATTACTGTTGTGATAGAATCTCACTAGTTTTTGATAAACATCCTTTCTACTGTTGACTTCAGGAACACTCTTTTGGCTAAAGATAGATGACAGTGGGTCAAAGACCATGTTTGTCTTTTTTTTTTTAAGATTGGTTTATTTGATTTTATTAGAAAGTCAGATATACAGAGAGGAGGAGAGATAGACAAGAAGATCTTCTGTCCCGTTGATTCACTCCCCAAGCAGCTGGAACGGCCAGAACTGTGCAGATCCAAAGCCAGGAGCCTCTTCTGGGTCTCCCATGCGGGTTCAAGGTCCCAAGGCTTTTGGGCCATTCTCGACTGCTTTCCTAGGCCACAGGCAGGGAGCTGGATGAAAATGGGCCTACCAGGATTAGAACTGGCGACCATATGGGATCCTGGTGCATTCAATGCGAGGATTTTAGCCATTAGGCTATAGCGCTAGACCCCTTGTTTATCTTTGAACTTGAAACTTACGTAAGCCGAGTTAGTTATTCACATAAATCATCCTGCAAATATTCATTCAGTACCTATGGTGTGGCAGGCACCGTTCTACATGCTTGAACTTGAGTGGTGAAGAAAACGAGGTTTGCTTTGTTAATGATTTATTTGAAAGGTAGGGTTGCAGAGAGAGACACAGAGATAGCATTCATCTGCTGGTTCACTCCCCAAATGCCTACAGTGGCAGGAGCTGGGCCAATCTGAAGCCAAGAGCCAGGAGCTTCTTCTGAATCTCCCACATGGGTTCAGTGGCCTGAGCACATGGGCCGTCCTCTGCTGCTTTCCCAGGCACATTAGCATGGAGGTGGATGAGAAGTGGAGCAGTCAGGATTCCGACTGGCATCCATGTGGAATTCCTGCATCCCTAGCTGTGGTTTAACCCTCTGTGCCACAGTGCTGGCCCCCTGAAAACAAGGTCTTACAGCAAGAGGATGTGCTGGGGGAAGAGAAAAACATGAGGACGGGATGTATACTGAAGAAAAATAGATGACCGGGAGGCAGGTTGAAAAGAATTGCTATTAAAAAAAAGGGGGGGGGGTGTTGTGTCTGGCGCTGTGCTGCAGTGAGCTAAACTATGAGCTTCAACACAGGCCTCCCATTTCCAAGCACTGGGTTGAGTCCCAGCCATCCTACTTCTGATCCAGCTACTTAGTAATGTGCCCCGGCAACATGGGAAACCCAGATCAAGTTCCAGGCTCCTGACTTGAGCTTGACCAAACGCCCAATGCAACCATGTCAGGAGTGAACCACAGATGAGGATTCTGTCATTCTTTCCTTCACATAAAAAAAAAATCCTTATTTTCTAAAAAGTGGTTGGAGTGGTCACTTGGGGAGTGAATCATCAGTCGGAAGATCTTTCTTTCTGCCTATCTGACTTTGCAATAAAAATAAATAAATCTTAATAAAAAGAGAGAGAAATCCATTTGGAGCAGGTGACCTCTGAGCAGAGATTTTTTGAGAAGGTCACTTTGAAGGAAAAACACATTCCTAGCTAAAAGGGAGCAGAGAAAGGAGTTGGGGGAAGACAGTCCCTGAACCGTGCCGGACCGGTCCCAGGAACGGAAAGTGGGCCATGTGAGAAGTGGGCCGTGTAGCCGGAGCTCTGTGTGCCGGAGGGCAGGGCAGGAGCTGAGCTCGTGGTGTGCTTCCGGAGTAGGTCAGGAAGGGCTTGCAAGGTGTAAGAAACACTCTGGCTGATTCGTGAACACTGCAGTGCAGGGGAAAGGAAATAGAGACCAGCTAGGAGATTGGCAATTCTGCTGCAAAAGACAGTGCCTCAGTGGCACCAGGGAGGTAGTGAGATGGTGAGAGTGGCTGAAGGAATACATTTTAGGTGAAGGTTCAGTAGCAATTGTCAGATTGGATTTGTTGATAAATTGGATGTGGGAGGTGAGAAAAAGGAGCCAAGGAAAGTTTTAGTTTTGACCTGAGCTATGCCACCGCACACCAGCCCGACAATTTTTCTTTTATGGTTAAAAGCCTTTTTTGGATATTTAGCATAATCACAATACTACCATCACTCATGAAGTATTTTTGTTGTGTTTTAGAGTAAGATATCTTGTGAATATGGTCCAGAATGATTAAACATATTCCTTTTTTTTTAAAGATTTATTTTATTTTTTATTACAAAGTCAGATATACAGAGAGGAGGAGAGATAGAGAGGAAGTGAAGTTGCCAGGATTAGAACTGGTGACCATATGGCATCCCGGCGCGTTCAAGGCAAGGACCTTAGCCACTAGGCCACGCTGCTGGGCCCAAGAATGATTAAACATATTCCTAAAACAGCAGATACTTTTTTTGTTATACTAACCTTGCCTTCCATAGAGATGTTAATATACATAATAGAAATTATTTATTTATTTGAAAGACAAAATAACAGGAAGACCAAACTTCCATCTGCTGATTCACACCCCAAATGGCCCCAATGCCTGCGGGTGGGATGGGCCAAAGCCAGGAGCCTGCAACTTTATCCACATCTCCTGTGTGGATGGCAGTGACCCAAGCACTCAGGCCATTTTCTGCTTCTTTCTCAGTTGTATTAAAAGAGAACTGGAATAGAAGTGAAGCAGCCAGGATGAAAATCGGTGTACTGATATGGAATGGTGGTATAAACCCACCGTACCACTATGGTAACCTCTTTATTTGGTACATTTATGTTGTGACATGGAAAGGTCTTAGGAAAGGATTCACCGAAAGATTTTTTTTTTAAAGATTTATTGATTTTTATTGGAAAATCAGATTTACAGAAAGAAGGAGAGACAAAGATTTTTCCATCCACTGGTTCACTCCCCAAGTGTCCACAATGGCTAGAGTTGAGCTGATCCAAAGCCAGGAGCCTCTTCCAGGTCTCCCACACAGGTGCAGGGTCCCAAGGCTTTGGGTCATCCTCGCTTGCTTTCCCAAGCCACAAGCAGGAAGCTAGATGGGAAGGAGTAGCTGGGATATGAACCAGCATCCATATAGGATCCTGGTACATCCAAGGCGAGGACTTTAGCCAATAGGCTATC